CGGTCCGCATCCCGATTTAGCTGCTTGTGATCTTTTTCTGTGCTAACATAACGCCTGCTAAGCTGACAAGAGTCATGAAAATCGCCAGAAACCGGTTTACTCAGTGTATGGAGAATGGAGGACGTCACCTATCTGATTTAAAACTTTAGGCATGCCTACATTTAAAAAAACAAATATAAATGTTCTGATTCATACAATGGGCTTTATTAAGTTTTGAAAAAAAGAAGTTAAGCTACTACACCCTGTATTTTACATATATATTTGCTCGTCCATTTGCCATCAAAGCTTAGACCCATTAACGTGTGGTTAGTCATAACCACGTTCATGTTCGCCCACACGAGGGAGAGGGAGGGGGCATTAATCGGCAAAAGAAGCTTTTGTGAAAGTAATAATAATAATAATAATAATAAATGTCTTTATTAATCAGAATACATCAGTGAGGCGAAGTTTAGCCAAATGGCTACTCTTACACTTAACCTCACTGTGTACGAAACAGTAACACTCGATACACAAACAAACAAAAGTAATAATAAGAAAAAGAAACAAATGCACACTATTAATATCCCATCAGCTGTTTCTTAACGAGTCTCCTGAAAGGCACTATTGTTTTACTGCGACATATTTTATCTGTAGAGTTGTATAACTTGACAACATGAAATGTGAAGCTTTTCTGGAAAAGGGCCGTATAGTGGACTGGCATCGCAAAATTTAGGTTGTGTCTGAGATTTCTCTGATTAATGTTACCTCTTGGTACTAGCTTTTCTAAAATGTACGGTGGTTTTTTGGTGCAAACTACTTTATGGACAAACACCTTCATAGCATAAACAAACTGTGATTCCATCTTTAACCAATTTAAATCTTTAATCTTCGAAGAGACATGACTATATTTACGAAGTCCAAACACAAACCTGCAGCAGCCGTTTTGAATTTTTTGTAGTCTATACCGATCCGACGAATCCAAATAAGAATAGAATAAAATCAGAGAATGTTGCAAAGATGACAGGATCAAGCTTTCAACTAATTTTTTCCTAGTCTTAAAGTTTAAAATGAAACGGTTGGAATATAAAAGTTTTAATTTGGCATATGTTTTTTGAGACAGGTAACCGATGTGCCTATCAAACTTCAAGTTAGAGTCCAAGATAACACCCAGGTTTTTCTGTACCTGCCTTTTTGAATAGTGGGGGTAGCAAATTTTCTCAAGAGTCGCTGAGCTTTTACACAAAAGTATGCAAAATATGCAAATTTTAATTATATGGGCCTGTTGCAATGACTTGATTCATTCAATTTTTGGTTATACAAGTTCGTAGATAACTTTTATCTCAGAGGAGCTAACTTATACCGAACGTAATAATTTCTGATCCCGCTGCGTGGGAAGTGCAGGCTCAAACTACCTGACGCCATTGTTTAAGTACGACTGATAGTTTCCAATGTTTCGATCCAACGCGCTTATGAAAAAGGCTGCTGATGCTCCAGCCCTATCATGACGTCAACTTTAACTTATCCTTAGAAAGCTGTAATCCAACGATATCTTATTGCAAAATTTTATTATTCAAAATGTCATTATACCCTGACCTGCGGTGTAACATTTTGAATACCTAGGAAGTTAAGGAGTTGGAACTCAACATCATACTCACATTCGCTAGAACGGCTCTTGGTTGCCAGAGGGCTTTTGATTTTATTTCCATTCATCGTTCATTCGTTAAACTTCACAAACAAAGATCTGCTACTGCGCAAATACGAAAACAGTGTGTATGTAGAACTTGAGTTCGGGGGGAAGGGTAAAATATGCCATTTTGCCCCTAATAATCTGGCAACTATCTGTTTTGTGCAATTTGCAAATGATGGGTTCTAAAACTAGTGCTGAAAACGTTGTTTACCCGTCAAAGAGCTTGATAATAGCATAATCGTGCTTTTCATATGAGATTACGTAATATTTCCTTTTGCAGCGTGATAATGCTATTTTTCAGTATTTTTGAACTGCAAGTTGATTCAAAAAAAATTGGAGCAAAGTTGGTACATTTTCTTGTTTCTGTATCATTAATTTTATGAACCGTCACAAAATAACCATGAATAGTACTTTTTCAGTATGATCCCCTCTACTTATTTTTGAACGACTAAAGTTGTCAAGCTAAAATGCAGAGTGGTGGAATTGACGTATGAACACTATATTTTAACATAAAAATAACAGTTGTTTTTTCTTAATGAAAAGTAAGGTCATGTGAGACCTTATTTTCGAGCTACTTATGAGCACTTTATAACCCTAGAAAATAGAATCACTAACTTTCAAAATGCAGACTTGTCAAGGTTGAGCATTTTTCTACTATACCTACATTCTATCGTAACAACAACTCATCATCAAAACGTTATATGCTATATCCATATTTTTCTTTTGGAAGGGTATATCTGAGAGTGCAACCAAATATTGGACATTTTGTTCAGAAAAAATAAAAAACTTTGACAATCTTTTACTGGAGTGTACCATATTTTATGACACATTCGGATGGACCTTTCCAAGAGAGGAATATTGAGCATAATAAAGCACTATAGCGTTTTGATGTTTGGTTGTAGAATTTTAAGAGACTCGATATGCAGAGTCGCTCAACTTTGATAGCCTGCCAGTTCGCAATTTTGAAAGATAACGACTCGATAGTCTAGAGTCTAGAGTTATAACGTAGTTGTTCGTAAAGGGCTTCAAAATTAGGTATTACACGACCCCCCGATCCATTTGAAAACCAATATAGCGTCTAACCACCATCTTGAAATCTTCAACTTCCTCCTTTACGCTAAAGAACAGTACATATGTATCACTTTCATTATCTCGAATTTCAGCTTCCTGACTTGACTCGTTCGAAAAATAAGCAGGGTGGCTTTTTAAAAGCACTATATGTATATCTATCTCTCCATGTGGTACGAAATGGCTGTTAAAGCTTTAAAAACAGTTGAGGCTATGATCTACGAGTTTCAAAACTCATACACAAATTTTGATATTCATATCGATATTTAATCAAAGCAAGAATAAGACGATGTAGTGTTTCTAGGTCCGTCGCTAGAATTAATGTTTTGACCTAAAATCCTACTTTTCTGGGCTTGCGCGTTACTAAACCCCTAGTCTGTCATGACGAAGTACTAGTTGGCCTAAAATTTGGCAAATTTGCCCAGAAAGTGATCGGTATTTTGTATCGTTCGGGGAGGCAGCGCCCCCTTACATACGCCACTGTTTGGAAATATAAAAATTCCAGACATTTTCGTAAATTGTGATAAAAAATAAGCAACCCTTCAGAGCAGTGGGAGTATTTCGATGTCTTTGCTAATGTTGGTTGCGTGTCAAAGCAGTTTGCGTTTCGCGTTTCTCCAGACATGTTTGTCATCCGGCCTGATAATACGGCCAGACGAAAATTACCCATAATTAAATGGATTTGCAATTCATGGATGCACGAATGCGCAAAGTTTAATGCAATTAGGCGGAGTTATTAAGACGAACCCATCAAGGGCAAGGCAGACCAGGTGGAGGGCTCGGCACTATGTAAGTGCCTTCTCCTCAGATATTCTAAGGTACTGAAACAGAATTTCAAGGTGAGCCAATATAATGTGCTTTTACTTATTAATGTACTCAGATTAGCAATAAAACAAGAACATGAATAAGAGGCCTCTATGTTTACAGTGCATTGTTTGACGCCAAAATTACTCAGTTAAGTACCACTGCCTACCTAAGTGACATCGTTGTTCAGGATGGGCCACTAAGTTGAGCAGATTTTAAAAAATCATAGACAAAAAACTACAAAGCATAGGGAAGATAATTTATATTTTTAATAAAGTAGACCCATGGGAATTTTATTTTTTTTAAATAAGATCACTGAGATGTGAGCCATCGAGTCGTTCGTACTCGTCAAATCTCGACTTCAAATTCGTGGCACATCGCTCGTGGGATAGCGAACCTCTCCTCAGAAATGTTGTACTTAAGCTGGGCAATCGTCGTCGGCTTATTGGCGTAAACGCGGCTTTTCAGGTATCCCCAGAGAACAAAATCCATTGGCGTGAGATCTGGCCTTCGGGGAGGCCACGGAATGTCCCCTCGTCGCGATATCAGTTTTCCACTAAGCATTTCGTTTACAACTGCTAACGACTGGTTGGCGGTATGGGATGTCACGCCATCTTGTTGAAACCAGTTACGTAGCATTGCTCTGTAGCCATTAGAATCTACTGTTACAGTCTGGCCTTGCTGTTTTTTGAAGAAATAGGGTACGATGATTCCTTCAGCCGGCATGGCCGTCCAAACTGTAACATGACGCGATGATAAGTTCAGCACTAGTTGAAGTTTATATGGGACAATTTAAGGTCTTTTACCAAAATACGCGTTACAGATGTCCTTGATATGACGAGCTCAGCTTATCTCTTTCGGGATGATAACTGTGGATCGCGCCGTACGGACGTCGCAACTTCACTTACAGTTCCCTCTGTTCTTCTTAACCTTTGACGCCCCGCAGGTTTTCCTATTCAGTGTCGAACCAGTAGACTCCAAACTTTCTGGCCCACGACCTGATCACACTTTCACTAGGACATTGATTTAGATCGTGTAACCTAAACTCAGAGCGAAACAATATTGCACGAATTTGTATTTTTGTAATAAGCCTTAACACAGAACGAACGGTGCTCACCGATAAAACGCTTCATGGCGACTAAATTTCCTAGCTCCAAGCTACTTATCCCCACTACCCGTGTCCCACTTCCACGTGCCTGTCACGAGCAATGCGATTTTGAAATTCGTACATCTTTCTGATCTACCCTGTACCAACATGTTTTTTTACCGAGGAGCTATGAGGGGATACAGGGGAAAGGAGGGACGCCACACGGACTCTAGCGAGGGAACACGTGTGCATGCAGCATGCACACATTCTAGCCCCGCCTACGCGATCTGCCGGGTGGTAACCTCCGCGTTCGACAGTCAGTGACCTTTTACCACCTAAAGGCAATCACAACATCCATAGCCAAGAGAAACATTTCTCTTGGGACGGGATTCGAACCCGCGCAGCACACGGCGACTGATTAGGAGACCGTAGCATCTACCACTACGCCACCGCATACTCACACTTTAAAAAAAAACACTAAAAAAACGAACTTAATGACAGAGCTGTAAAAAAAATTAAATTATGTCAAGTCCACTTGCAGTATGCGCTTCCATTCTGACTACAGACTGAGATTTTAGAGACAAACAAATCGTAGGCTTGCTTCTAGTATGAATTTGTTGAGTGATTCCTCACATTAAGCTCTACGACACAACAAACCTGCTAACAGCCGCCATAAGTTAAGGATCGTCAGCGATCTGTGTGGATGGGACTCTGACACCGTGCGAAAATTCCGTAAGATGCCTTGAAAAGGCTATGATCTAGCGCAAAAAAACGCTTAAAACCAAATTTCACATTACGTTCCGGCAGCTTTATTCCTAATTATGTACATGATTCAAAACTGAGCTTGATTAACAACATTCAAATTTACAAAATGATCATCAGACTCCACCATTACAAACTCATGCTTGGTGCACATGCGAGCTTAGCAGGTCCTGCAAAACAGGAGCCTACGACCCATCACTAATGCCCCATGGTATGTCTCAAAAGGAACGATATTCATAGATCTTGACCTCACTTATTTAGAAGGTCTCTGAAGGAATTCATTAATGCCATTCGTTTGCCCACATTTGTTCACCAATTTATTTGATTTGTCCTAAAATGAAAAAAATATATTTTGGGTCTAACTTCAATTTCTGAATTTTAGTGTAAATGGAAAAAATAATCGTCCACTGCAAATGACTTGTTATGAATAAAACTAGTTCTAGACATTTGCTGACGTTTGAAAGACATCGCTGGTCAACTGTCTCCAGCGATTCTGCACTGGTGTGAAGTAAGCCCCAGTTGAGTATTATTTTAGAAAAATATTCGGAGAATCGGAGGATTGTTTTTTAGATAAGTGGGGTGGACAAACGTCTACCTATGATGGGTGGACAAACGAATGCAATGATGTTCATCCTTGCTGAAGCATCTCCGACGATTCTGCAGCGGTATGAAGTTAGCCCCATATGCAATACTTTTAAGAAAATATATTTGTAGGCTCCAAAGGGTTGCTTCAATTAATACAGTGGATGGACGATGTGTTTCAAACGGTTAGCAAATATCGGGAACTAGTTTTATTCCTAACAAATCATTTTCAACAATTTTAAAGGCATTTGACAAGAAATTTGAGATCAGCGTCGACCGACCATCAAGTTCAAAAGGTGGACGAATGAAACTGAATGGTGAACAAATATGGAATAACGATGGACAAACGTGAGAGCAAAACATTTTTTCAATATTCGAAAATCGAATGAATTGGTGGACAAATGTGGACATAAATAAATTCCAAGCTCCCGATTTTTGGAGCTATTTTCACAGACCTTTATTCAGAGGATTACATTTAACATCAAGCGCAGCGACGTTATGAACAAGCAAAGCCGCATTGCACTACTTTGTTGCCCGAGTCAGTGGACAACACATTCTAACAAGTTCGCAAACATTCCAGGCCGCGGCTCGCACAAAATTGAATCGCGCAATTTCGTATAGTATAAAATTTTGAATATGCCCTAACCTGAAACAATCAGAAACGATTAAAGCAAATCTTCAAGTGTTTTAAAAATCGTAACATGTTCACAAAGATGTTTGATTCCCCTTAAAAATGTACCGAAAGTTGTAAAGCACAGAAAAACAAACATTGGGACTTTCTGAGAGGTATTTTAATTTTTACTCACACCGCTGTCATTTAAACGATTTCCAAAATTACCTACTATGACCCCACATGGATTTACGTATTGTAGACATCGCATTTATCTGAATTTTTGGAATTTTCACATTCACAGTACCCTTTCTGCTAGCCCTTGCTCTTCAAAAAGTGTTGAGGGTTAATGCACTTTTATAGAAAGTTATCTCTTGCCAATTATCCGCCTCCTCTGACAGAGAAAACTTCCTGTGGACGCCCATGGTCAATACGCGACAGTTCATGTTATTTATTGCTGGCGTTCATGTTTCTTTTGTAAAAATCTATAGTTCAAATTTTACCCTCCATTTGGGATTCGCCACAGTTGGGTGCCCCCCCCCCCCCAGAAATTTTTGAATGGAACCCTTGAGGAGCAAGCTCATTGGCTAAACGATATCTCAGTCCGGCACCAAATAATTCATGCAACAATACCAATCCATGATCCATAATAATGAGATTCCCTCGTAAACTTCTGTCAGTGAACTCAGTTTTAAGCAGAATATTTTCCGTCTTCATTTTCTGAATTATACTCGTAGTGGAACAATAGCTGAGCATAATTATTTTATAGGCATATTTTGGCACTTCAAAGAAGTCGTTATGATGTTAATGACTAGCGGCTTACCACAAAATGTCCGCAGGCTATGCCTAAATTACGGTGTGTGGTACAATTAAGAATTTATTAATGATTCAAGGCTAAACTGAGAATTGTATTTCTTAATCTCCCGGTGTGATCATTTGGATTAAAAGTTTCAATTATGCTGCCGAGAATAATAGCGTTTAACAATACCACTTGCCATTCATCATTGAACGTAATTGAATTAATAAAATTTTAATTCATAATTGAATCAATTGATAAATCACACAATCAAATGAGAATTCAGTTCTACAAATGTGTTTTCTTATTCCTCAACCATCAAGTATTTTCATCATTTTTAAAAGGCAAACACAGGGCCGATATATGTTAACACGGTAAATGAATCTAAATTTTGAAAAGAACAGTACAAAGAAAGGTGATCAATCTGGAATTACAACTTATTCTTATGAGAAAATTTTCAAAAACCCTCTGTATACGTAATCTTGGAGACAAATACTACTTTCTGGGCAAATCAGACAAAACCTTGCCCCACAGAGTCCTTCCTATACGAGGGATGTCTTTTAAGTTTTGCAAATAGAAACATAGTAGGCCGCGCGGATCGAACATCAGTACTGAATCTTAACCTCACTCTTTAGTAAGCTTAAATTCAAAGTTTCACAACAATACGTGCAGTGTTCTCACTACAGTGAATTTTTAAATGTCACCAAGTCATTAGAAAAATGGAACTCAACCGAGAACATTTTCGCGCCATAATTTATTACAACTTTCAGAGAACAATTATCGCAACAAGAATGCCTTGCTGAGTTACTGTCTGTTTTCGGCAAGGAAGCGCCACATCAGTCGACAATTTCCCGTTGGTATGGAGAATTCAAACGTGGACGGGTGAGTCTTAGCGACGATCCCCGGGTGGGTGCACCAAAAACGGCAGTCATCCAGGAAAACGTCGATGCTGTGCGCAAACTCATCATTGAAGATAGACATGTGACATATCGCGAGATTGAGGCGTCCTTGAAGATCTCAAAGACCTCAAGACAAACAATTTTACATGAAGAATTAGGAGTAAGAAAATTTGTTTCTGGTTGGATACCCCACCTGTTGACTGAAGAGCAGAAAGCAGCCAGGGTTAATTGGTGTCAAAAAAAAGCTTGACCGTTTCAATTCCGGCAAACTCAAAAACTGTATACAGCATTGTTAGTGGTGATGAATCGTGAATTTACTGTTATGAACCAGTAAATAAACGACAGTTGGCTGTTTGGGTGTTCCAAGGTGAAGAAAAGCCAACAAAAGTCATCTGTTCTCGAAGTTTTTCGAAAAAGATGGTCGCGACATTTGTGTCAAAAACGGGTCATATTGCAACAATTCCTCTTAATGAGCAAAGAACTGTTACGGCGGATTGGTATACCATTTGTTTGCCAAAAGTCATCACCGAGCTTCGAAAAATCAACCCCGAAAGAATAATCATCCTCCACCAAGACAATGCAAGCTCGCACACATCCCAAAAAACAAGGCAGTATTTAACGGAAGAAAATATGGAATTATTGGACCATCCTCCATATAGTCCCGATCTAAGGCCTAACGATTTTTTTACTTTCCCGAAAATTAAAACCAAACTGCGTGGTCAAAGGTTCCAGTCACCAGAAGAAGCAGTTGAAGCATTCAAAAATGCCGTTTTGGATCTGCCAGCAAACGAGTGGAATAAGTGCTTCGAAAATTGGTTCGAGAGCATGCAGATGTGTATTAATCTTCGTGGAAAATACTTGGAAAAACAATAAAGTCATTTAAAACTACCTACCGTGTTGTTTTATTTCCATATGCAAAACTTAAAAGACATCCCTCATATATGTATATTTTAAGATTTTCTATCAGAAAAAAATCTACTTTGAAAGGTAAGTGACTCATAGATGGCGCTGAAGCTATAGGAGCATCTATAGTTATCTACAGCGTCATCTATGAGTCACTAACCTCTTCAAAGTAGACTTCTAATTATTGCGGAGAAGAAAAACTTAGCAATGCCATATTCTCATAGATGACTCCACGATATCGCAATTCATCTCGGATAAATTATCGGCCGCTCAAATATGGTTTATGGTATTTGGTTGGCTATCTTAAGCTACAATACCTTAATCAATGGCATAACGTAAAGTTACCTACATATCAATCAATTTTAAACCGGCTGACTGATTTCTGAGTTTCTCTTATAAAATTTTAAAAATGCAGACGCAAGGGGTTTGTTTTATGTTGTTGCTTTATTTATTAAAACACCGGGTGCATTTAGATTTGTGCAAAACATTTATCAAAATTTAAGGAGCGTACATTTACAGGTGACGGAAAATCCACAAGAGACCTACTCTACATGACATAACAGATTTCACCTTAAGTTAAGCAGTCTTATGTGTTTTGTGAGTTAAGCCTAGTACAAATATCAAGGTGTGTTCACACTTTATATTCATACAGGGTTAAAACGGCACTGAGTACAAGTAGCACCATTTACAACGATGAGGGAAACCGAAATCATATTTTAATTCAAATACCAAAATGTTAATCCTGATAACATTATATAAAGAAACGAATGCTTTGCGGACACATATCTATATGCTTTTGTACCTTCCTTTATGTCATGAATACCTACCTACATCGAAAACCCTCCTGTGACATATATGACACTTAGAAAAAAACGCATTGGATCTGTATAAATATCAATCATCATATTTGCAGAATTGAAAATTTTCAAACCCCGCCTCTAGGAAAAAAATGACCGCACCCATCGTAGTAGATATAAGATTCTCTTTCATCAATCAATAGGTAGATACCAATAACTGACTTAATGTTTTTGGCTATGGCAAAGCCGACGAAGGCGAAGAAATCTTAAGATACGTATTAGATTCGCACTTGAACTTACCCTTTCAAGCAGCAGCTTTTCAAGCATTTTCCAGTCACAACTTTCACTTCAGTTCCACTTTAAATCACTTCACCCTTCATAGGACCTTACGCGAAATCAGTTACCAAACGATCAACCTAAAAGTCCGTATTTCAACAGAGAGTCTTTATTTAACCGATAATACACGAAATCGAATTTTTCGAATAGTTCCAACCAGCAAATAGCGGAAATTTATATTAATTCGGTAATTGATTGTTTCCCGAAAAGCGAAACCAACTCATAACTTCAAGCGCGTATCACATAATATCAAGGCGCATAGCTTTCCACCGAATATTGGCAGCGGATGACGGCACTCTGCGAGCCCAAGAAAAAACTGCAACAAAAAAACCTTCAAAACAAACGTCGCGTCCGTCGCCTTGTAAATCAGATTGGTATATCGACGGATGTGTGTGTGTGTGTTCAATTCAGATTATTTATTAAATTGAAGGCTGGGATGTGTGCGCCGACCGCAAGATCAGCTGTTCGGTCTTTCATGTTTCACAGCGCGCCAAGATGGGCTTGGAAGGGGGCACATGAATGGAGCGTACACACAAGAGAACAGTGATTCATAGACGCTACGCAGTCGCCTTTAACAAACTATATTCACTACGTTTTCTCAGGACTCGGTTCGAATCAAAGGATACATAGTTACCAGTAGAAAAACTACTCCATCCAAAAATCAGATGCTACTGCAGTGGCTGAGTTTATAACTCTGGTGGCTGAAATGCTACCTGGCAGTTGGATGCGATCACCCATTCATTACCTGTGCCAATAGTCCAGAAAGTACAACATGCAGATTCATTAAAAGGGGTCTTTTTTGAATGAAATTGTACGAAAAAACAATCCAAATATTTTTCTAAGCAGATGCAAAAATATTTTCTGTACTATATCTATGCAGGTAGTAAGATGGCCGGCACTCGGAAGTGGTCGCGTGCTGTTGGATGTGTATAGGGCGATTCATTATGACAAGTTGGTGCTGCCTGCCTGGATGAAAAATAAAGGAGGGAAATGGTGTTCCGATGCCTTGCCAATGATTTTGGGCAAGTAATGTTGTTCCAGCATATTAATCCGTTTTTTCATAAAGGAGCTCGGGTTAAGGTATAATTGATGAAGGAGATCCATTCAAAATTTATCTATGCTTCATGAGTGTGCCAGTGTCAAAAACGCTATATCACAAAAATGTGATGTGAATTTTTACTTATAATTTTCAAAATAACCCATGATCAATTTGGAGGCTTGATAGTGCCTTCTCGGAGCTTCATTGAAAATGTTCCAGAATTGGAGAAAATATTTCGTCGCTCCCCTTGCATAAGGGCGTATCTCAAAAACTGTAACTTTTCAGGAGGCGCATCCAAAGTTATGTTTTAAGTTTGGATTGGTGGTAGCCGGAACATATTCAAGTGAGCGGTGTAATTTTTGTTATGATGTTATGTGGTTAAGGTAGCCTATTTTTTATATGCTTCTTACTTCAGCATACTCATATTTTTTGGTATTTTTTACTACTCTTACTTTGAATGAGATACGCCTCAGGAATGTCAGTAGTATTGCTAGTTTTAAATGTAAACTGCGAAAATTATTAGTTGAAACATGTTTCTACTCTTTGTCTGAATACCTCGCACTGTGATATATTTTTATAAACTTTTTTTATATGTGAATGTCTGTACGCCTTCAGTTGTCCCTGTTTGTACTTTGTAAATACTTATGTTTGTTTGGTTTTTATTTTTAATTATGTCTACTATGTACTTTCCTCTTAGGACGAGTCTTATGTCATTTTTTATGATCTACAAGACAATAAATGTATCTATCTATCTATCTATACGGTGTACAGTTATTATACCTTAAACTAAAAGGATTTTTCCAGGTACATCAACCTTTCAAAGAAAAACCCAGATGTATCTTTATTACCAACATATATCAGGATTCAAATTATAACTAAATCAAAATCCATTGGACTAGTCTGACTGTAGAACTGTTAGTCTTTAGCTTATATATCTTTGACAAGTGTAAATTTTGGAACAAAATTAGCATCCATTTATCAGATCAAACCAGAAATCGTTTACATCAACTTTTACGGAAAACAATGTTCTCAACTCAACATTTTTTTAAAACTAAGTTACCGAAAGACAAATTAGAACTTAATTAAAATCATGTAACTATAATCTAAAAGGAAAACTGATATATAAACATGTAAGATTCTAATCATTTTTTTCATACTCTAGACTTTTATAAAATGACACATGCTCTGGATTTTTATCTGCTGCAGTTGGTCCTTCACATAAAGAAACTAAATCAATATGTTTTACTAAAGAGATTTGGCTTGGTGGCTTATTTAGTCGAGGTACACTGTTATCAAGCACACCAAAATGCGACCGTTTCAAAGAGATTGATCGATACGAGGTCTCCAGGTGACTTGTTTTAAAGTATATGTATATAATGTCAGGCGAATCTTTGACTACTCTTAGTTCCATCATTTCTGTCCAGTTGATAGAATTTTGATTTTCATTATCTTTTCTGATGGTAAGAATACGTAATTCTTTGGCGAAACTCTTGAAATTCAAAAATTCTTCATGATTCATTTCGGTAACTTCGTAGGCTGTCTTCGTCTTCTTGCCAGCTTAAATATGGGAAGTAATTGCGAAGGCACACAAATATTTCCACATTTTTTTTAGTGCATAGCTTATGGCACTGTGAGCTGAGTCACCTTCATTTTGGCCATGATAGGATTAAAAAAATCTTAAAGATATTTCGGAGATATTTGAGCTATTCTTTATGAAGTAGACCATCATGGCTGCAATGACAGAATTCTTATTTTGTGCGTGACATCCATCTGCAAATAAACTAGCAACATTAGCTCCTTGCTTATCGCACTGCAATAGGAACTTATAAACACAAGTTGCTATTTCACTTGCTCCTCTTTTGCTGATATCCTCATGCCAAGTGTAGCAATAGCAGTTTTTTGAGGCTAGATTGTATATTGTGAAATTGAAATTCAGCAAACGATTTTTATAGAAAACTTTACTGTCGTTTAAAATAGGCAAGTATATGACTTGCTGGAGGTCAAATACAGCACTAATATTTTGAGTACTTGTTTCTATAGCTTTGCTTTTACATGCGTGTTTTATTTCACGTACTCTTTTTTTCTCTGAAATATGTTTATTGTACTTTTCCTCTAGAGTGATTTTGGTTTCATCCTTGCCATTTCTGTAGGTAAGGCACAAGCTACATTGATCCTTTTTGGGATGGTGGAAGGACAGATTAAAAGTTTTGAATACACGAGCGTATGTACTCATGCTGGCCGTGTCTCTCCATTTTTATTTTCATCTCGGTATAGCTCATACATTTTTTGTAAAGTTAAATCAGGATGAATTCTCCCGACAGTAGTGCGATTCCATCTTAGGGAATCTATTAAGGTGCTCTAGAACTGAGTGCCTCAATTCTCTATCTTTATCTGACAAAGATTTGTACCTACCACCACGTCTTTCTTTCTCGATAACACCAGTTGCTGTAATTTTCGACAAAGACGTACGTAAAAATTTTCCTGATATTGATAATATATTGATGAAAAATGTTTTACACACCCTAACTTTGTTTCCGTTCAAGGATAGGAAGTACCGAAGACTTTTGCTTCTTCTGGAAGCCGTATTAGTTGTCCTTTGTTTGACTTCAACTAATTCGCAGTGGCGACCAATGAACTCCCTACGAAGCTGTAAATCACTGAGTGCATAGAATGTTGCAAATATGTCCGCTCTATTTTCTTGACTAAACGCATTGCACTGTTTTCCGGTTTTCAAACATGTTTCACTTTCACATCTACCTAAAAGCTTCTGCGCTGGTACAATTTTCTTGCTGCTTATGGTGTAATATTCTTTGCCTTGGTTTCTCAGAGTTTTTGCAAGTTTCGACTGGTTATGACGTTTCTGAACTGATGGTCTTGGCTCCTCTCTTGGGGCACCTTCAACGGCATACATTGTTGATATGGAGTCATTAACGTTCAGTGAAGCCGTTGGAAGTATGTTATCTTCATTTGCTCGCTTTTTATGAGAAATACAGGATATATCTTCACTTTGAAAATGGTCGAAGCACAGCAGACTAGATACGCGAAAACAGCTACTAAATACTTCTGCTTGACAGGAAATAACCTCACAGGACTGTTCCACATACCTATCAACGTTCAGTGAAGTCACTCGAACTATGTTATCTTCATTTGCTCGATTTTTGTGAGAAATACAGGATGTCTTCACTTTGAAAATGGTCGATGCACAGCAGAGTAGAGCAACGAAAACAACTACTAAGTACTTCTGCTTGACAGGAAATAACCTTGCAGGCCTGTTCCACATAACTATCTCGCTTGTTTGAGTCTTGATCTACAGGTGTATGAGTTTGATTTCTTACAGCCATATATTTTGACAGTGGCTCATCGTCACTCGAAATACTAACTATACGATATTTAGATAATGGTTCATTGTCACTCTCGGAAGTGGAAGTTGCTTCTGTGTCGATCACCTGACCATTATACCAAATACCGCCGTAGAGCATTTTAACCATTACGCCTTTACAAAACTTTTGCCTACTATAACAGGTACTAACTTATCAGACTCAACCACATTTAGAGTGTTATCTTCCCATTTCACCAATACATCCATCCCTTATACACGTTGGAACCTGCAAGTATTAAAGAAACATGCATGCATTTTGATGGAATATCACTATAAATACAATGTGCCTTACCAGCTATCAACTCCTACACCAATACAACAAATACGAATAACTAAAACTAGTGGTATTCAACAGCGTATCAATACAACTACTTACAATTTTTAGGTTAGGTTAATACAATCCGTATGAGATGCTCCTGTGTCGACGCGATGGTCGGTATGACTTCGTCAAACAAACGGGCGCATCTCGACATACGCCTGTATTTCAGATTCTGTTTAGGACAACTCCATTATACAAATTAGCATATCTCGGCATACGCCTTTATGTAAGAACAATTTTTGACTGAAAATGAGATACGTTTTCATGTAGCAGCGACTTATAGTGAAATCAGCGATACGTCCTTTTGTCACATGATAAGCTGGAGCTATGTGATGCCGAATCCGTCAATATCTCAATGTAACGAAAAAATGAGATACGCCCTTATGCAAGGGGAGCGACGATTTACAACGAACTAGCTTGAGGTGGCTTGCCTAGAGAACGTAGAAAAAAGACTGGTAACAGACATCTTGGGCAACCACCAACTCCTCTCGAAGTGCTTCTAGAGTCTGAGGAGGACGTTGCAAATTGAGCAATCTCCTACCCATCATATCCCACACGTGCTCAATTGGGGATAAGTCGGGAGATCTTGGTGGCCATGGTAACAATGTGACATCATTATGTTGAAAGAAGTCTATTGTGACTCTTGCAACATGTGGTCGGGCATTATCTTGTTGGAAGTCGGATCTGCCAGGGTGTCAAGATAGGGTAAAAGATGGGGTTCTAGAACTTCGTGGATATAACGCTGCGCGTTCATGTTACCTCTGATGAAGATTAAAGGTGACCTGGAACCATAAGCTATCACCCCAAACCATAACTCCAACAGTGTGATGAACATGTCTTTCAACAAAAAACTGTGGATTCCTCCTTTCACCACGTCGCCTTCTAACCCTGGCACGACCATCGTGCATGCCTAAACAAAATCGAGACTCGTCACTAAAGACAATACTGTTCCATTCCTGATCCCAGAGTGACCGTTGTCTGCACCACTCAAGGCGACTGCGTCGGTGTTCTCGAGTTAAAGGGAGGACCCAGTGTGGCCGGTATGAAAACAAGCCAAAACTTCTCATTCGTCGGTAAACACTTCGCATGCCAATAGGTCTTCCGTGTTCTGCAAACCATTCATTTGCAATGGACCTGGTAGTGGAGAAACGGTCCCTTAAGGCCAATAATCTTAGGCGGCGATCTTCACGGTCTGTTGTTCTACGGCGGCGTCCAGTGCCCCTTGCTCTTTGCGTACGGCCTTCTCGAAGCCATGCCTGACAACACCTAACCACAGTGTCTACACTTCTTTGCACTCTAACTGCAATTGCCCGAAAAGAAAGTCCAGCTTCCCGAAGTCCCACTATACGGCCCCTATCAAACTCACTAAGTTGACGAAATCGTACAGGTCTCGGTACTCTAGGCATCGTAATCGATCGTAAAGGATGTCAAGAACCAAAATCCGCCAACGTTGATTCTTTATTGCGGCTGAAATATTCATTTTTAGAGCGTTAGTGAATTAAAAAAAGCAGTATAAAAACCGGAATGTCCAACTGATAAGACTGAAAATTTTTTCACTTGTTATTTACAGTAAGATAAATACATTCACCAACTTTTATTAAAATAAAACCATTTAAACTGGGTGTTCGGATTTAAATGTCACTTAGTATATAAGTCTCATTTCATTTCTTTTACGTTATTTCCTATTCTTTATTTCACTTTTTCACCTAACTACAGTTACCAAAAATTTAAAAAAACCTTTGTTTTTGTACTTAACTCAGCGAACTTACATTCATTTTCAAACTGGTGAGCATGCAGTATATTTCAAATTTTGACAAAATCGGCACAGTGGTTACTGAGGTTATGTAATGACAAAGAAGACACTTCGAGAGATGATTCATCGCCAGTCAGTGAAGAAGAGGCTAGAGACTATTTTTCAACTCGCATTTTTTAAGCAAGGTCCATGCCATAAAAACAATAATGACTCGATACCATTATAACCAATTTTTTGATACCCTTTTCCGTACGTGCGCCAAAGTACGACAGCACTACCCTGTATAAAGTAATAAAAAAGTACGGGACCTCTTCAAAAGTGAGACAGCAAGAAGAAAAATGATCAGAGTTCTTAGAAAGATGTCATCTTTAGAAAGGTTTTTTCGCGAGCGCCCCTTCTACTGGTAACTATGTATTATTTGGTTCGAATTAAATACGAATCAAAATGCGTTATCCCGCCGCGTTTATATCTTAACACATTCTAGCAACCATAATACGATATTCCCACGTCCAAAAAATTATCCGAATTAAAATGAGATATCGAAGCGTCATCTATGAGAATTTGTTACAGCTATGTTATAGTTGTAGCCAACTATAGTATCATATTATAGCATATATGTTTCTACATATGCTGCCATCTATGAGACACTAACATTTTCAGGGTAAACATCTTGCGGAAAGGAGAAACAGCTGTTACAGATTTTCATAGATGACGCTATACGGTATCTCATTTTATCTCGGATAATTTTTTGAACGCGGGAATATAGATTAATTTGGCTATCTTTAGGTAAAATACGTTAATCAGTACATGCAGTTTCGATTTGAATCTTTTTCAATCCTTGTTGAAGGCGGCGAGCCAAGTGACACAGGCGTCATTTATGGAAAAGTTTTAAGACCTACATTACTTTTCGAAAGATTGTGGAAGTATTCATCGGGAATTTTTCAGAAAAGAAAATTTGGGGTTGAAAAATATCACCTATCTACATAAAAAACACGGCATGCGGTCACATGTCGGCCACTAAGAGCATTGCGCATAACTTGTCGTCCTTGAAACTCGATTCACTTTCAATATTATTTCCCTAGCCATTACATGCTGTACTCAGTATCAAAATCGAACTCAAAATTGAAATGTTATTTTCAAATATACTAAGTGACATATACATCCGAACACCCAGTTTAAATGGTTTTATTTTAATAAAATTTTGTATAAGTACTTAATGAAGCATAATAAGTAAATGATAAAAATTTCAAAATGATTGCACTGCTTTAAAGCCCTTTGACCTTTAATAATGTGTGGATGCACCCTGATGTGCTACGCATTCTCCAACGCGCCTAGGCATGCTTCTGATCAGGTAGTCAATGTCCTCCTGTGGTATCTCATTCCAGGCAACCACCAACTCCTCTCGAAGTGCTTCTAGAGTCTGAGGAGGACGTAGCAAATTGAGCAATCTCCTACCCATCATATCCCACACGTGCTCAATTGGGGATAAGTCGGGAGATCTTGGTGGCCATGGTAACAATGTGACATCATTATGTTGAAAGAAGTCTATTGTGACTCTTGCAACATGTGGTCGGGCATTATCTTGTTGTCTTGGAAAGTTGGATCTGCCAGGGTGTCAAGATAGGGTAAAAGATGGGGTTCTAGAACTTCGTGGATATAACGCTGCGCGTTCATGTTACCTCTGATGAAGATTAAAGGTGACCTGGAACCATAAGCTATAGCACCCCAAACCATAACTTCAACAGTGTGATGAACATGTCTTTCAACAAAAAACTGTGGATTCCTCCTTTCACCACGTCGCCTTCTAACCCTGGCACGACCATCGTGCATGCCTAAACAAAATCGAGACTCGTCACTAAAGACAATACTGTTCCATTCCTGATCCCAGAGTGACCGTTGTCTGCACCACTCAAGGCGATTACGTCGGTGTTCTCGAGTTAAAGGGAGGACCCAGTGTGGCCGGTATGAAAACAAGCCAAAACTTCTCATTCGTCGGTAAACACTTCGCATGCCAATAGGTCTTCCGTGTTCTGCAAACCATTCATTTGCAATGGACCTGGTAGTGGAGAAACGGTCCCTTAAGGCCAATAATCTTAGGCGGCGTCCAGTGCCCCTTGCTCTTTGCGTACGGCCTTCTCGAAGCCATGCCTGACAACACCTAACCACAGTGTCTACACTTCTTTGCACTCTAACTGCAATTGCCCGAAAAGAAAGTCCAGCTTCCCGAAGTCCCACTATACGGCCCCTATCAAACTCACTAAGTTGACGAAATCGTACAGGTCTCCGTACTCTAGACATCGTAACCGATCGTAAAGGATGTCAAGAACCAAAATCCGCCAACGTTGATTCTTTACTGCGGCTGAAATATTCATTTTTAGAGCATTAGTGAATTAAAAAAAACAGTATAAAAACCGGAATGTCCAACTGATAAGGCTGAAATTTTTTCACTTGTTATTTACAGTAAGATAAATACATTCACCAACTTTTATTAAAATAAAACCATTTAAACTGGGTGTTCGGATTTATATGTCACTTAGTATAGTTTTTGGGAAAGCCAGATACAGGGTATTCCATACTAAATTGACATAGTCAAATGGTAGGTAGTATGGATCCGACCGAGACTTTTTCATATCCGAGATTAAATTTTTTTTTTCAATTTCTACGGATACCGGCGGTCATTTCTCAGAGTCTGTTGAACCGATTAATAAGTATCCCTTTTATTTATATCATGTATTGCTCGTTTTTTCTACGTCAAATAATAAATTCAGAATATAACTTACAAGACATTGCGCTTGATGTAAGGAAATGGAAAAACTGATTTTTTTTGTTTCCCAAAACAACTTAATTTCAATTTTAAGCATTATTTTGTAAAATGTTGATGTAACCAAGTTGATAACCCGTAAAATTTTTTGTTTTGTGTCACATAAACTGTTAAAAATAAGATATTTGAATAAATAAAAATGTTTTACTAAGAAACTAAAAAAGGCTCACAATCTATTTTGCTAATTAATTATCACCATTAATTGGCTTTTTTGTACATAGCCAAAGATTCCAATATGTGAAATGAAAGGAAGCAATATAATCCAAAATGACAACGCAAAATGTTTCCATATATCATTTCTGTTAGGTATTTTCTGGTACCATCTGAAAAAGAATTCAGATTACCCAGATAGCGTCCAAAATTATTGAGAACATTTCATATACTGATCTCACTGCACTATAGTAGCAATGTTGGTTGCCTGCCGTAGGAAGTCCGAAAATATCCTTAATGCAGCCCGTAGACTACACATATTGTCAAACTTTCAGGCACTTTTTGAACAAACCATATCCGATCATCCATTCAGAATTCCAGGTCTCATACTCTATTATGGCCCTAAATTTCTTCATCGCAATATAATATCTGAAGTGATTTGAAGATTGTATAAGATTATTCATTCTATGTGTAAAATCAATTTTCTTGCATATCCTGCTCTTTGTTCTGATTACAAGACCTAGTATGTACTAGTCTGGGAACTCATAAAAAGACAATCTCATGAACATTTACAACAATATCACTCCAACATATGGCTTGTAGTGATATAAATACCGTGCACAGGAAACATTTCTTAAAAACCCATAATAAATGAGCCAAATTTGTGTAATTCACACAATAAATGCAATGATAGATACCTTTAATGCAGATTATCTATATACAGTGTACAAAAAAAATTTAAATAATTTCATAAAATTTACAGATACATACCTTGTAAAGTGTATATTTTTTTCATACAGTGGACCCCCGATAATCCGGCCCCTATCTAATCCGGCGCCCTCTGTAATCCGACATGTGTTTGAATATGTATTACATACATACGTATTTGACAATCTTCGCTAATCTAGATCACGCAGGTTTGAACAGGTTAAAACGTGTACGCGCCACCGCTATCGTGCTCGACGCATAAGCATTGTTTTACTTAGTTTGAATTTGACTACTGGTGATAGCGGTACGGCCTAGCGTGCGTTCGTTGTTTACTATTTATTCATTGTGTATTAAGTATAGTACCTAGTAATGTCATCACAAACTCAGAAGCGAAAGCACAAAACATTGACAATTAAAGAAAAATGTGATATTTTAGAGCGCTTAAATCGCAATGAAACTTTCAGTAGTTTAGCAAGTGAATACGGCGTAGGTCGATCTACAATTTATGACATTAAAAGAAACCACGAGAAGATCAAGCAGTTCGTGTCAACTACTGACTGCGGGCCAGGCAAGAGACAGACACTCAAGAAAGCTGAACATCCAGAAGTGGAAGAAGCTTTGTACATGTGGTTTCTTCAGGAAAGAAATAGGCATGCACCAATTTCAGGACCCATGTTGGCCATGAAAGCTAAGTTTTTTTATAAGGAAATAACAAAAAAGATGATTTTGATACGTTTAATGACTATTACAGGAGAGAAATTTTCTAACGATGTCACCTGCGTAGAGCCCTTTAAATTAAGATTTTTGCAAAAGGTGAACGATTTAAATCTTGACCCGTCACAGGTGTACAATGCAGACGAATCAGGGCTTTTTTTGCGTGTGATGCCTAACAAAACTTTCGTTTCTTGTAACGAAAAATCCGTACCTGGACGAAAAGTAAGTGAAGAGCGTGTAACCATACTACCATGTGCTAACGCTGCGGGCACACACGCGCTTAAGATGATGGTCATTGGGAAATCTAATAAACCACGGGCATTCAAAAACATTGATTTACCTGTACACTATTACGGACAAAAAAGTGCATGGATGACAAAAGACCTTTTTAAAAAGTGGTTTGATGAATGCTTCGTACCTGAAGTTAGAAAATGGTTAAAAGATCATAATTTTCCTCAAAAAGCGTTGTGCTTCTCGATAACACTCCCGGTCATCCGTCTGAAGAAGAACTAACAACTGAGGATAAATGCATCACTGCGATGTTTCTTCCGCCAAATTGCACTGCACTGATTCAACCAATGGACCAGAATATCATTCAGTTTGTCAAGCAAGACTATAAGAAAAACTTACTTCTGGAAGACCGTATCAAAAGACCAACCAATATAAAAAACTTTAAAAGAATTTAATATGAAACACTTTTGCTCTTTGTCAGTCGTGGAATGCGTTACCGTCATCAACTATTAAATCATCTTGGAGAAAGTTATGGCCTGATATAGTCAACACTCCTAGCAACGTTCCACAAATCAGTGTTACTTCGGAAGTTATAGAACAAGTCGCTACTGAAACACAGATAAGTCCGGAAGATTTGGAAATCGGGTGCCGTGGAATGGATAAAGAGGAAAATGTTTTTCATGAAATGACTGAAAGAGATTATAAAAGAGGTTTCTAATTATACAAGAAACAATCAGGAAAATAACGACGACGTTATTGCAACTGCTCCACAAGTCACAGCACAAGACGCAATTAACGCTTTTGAGCTAGGTTTACAATGGGGTACATCCTACAACGAACTTTTACTTTTGAGAAGACTGAGGGACAAAGCTCTGATCTCGCGTTATAACAACCTTAAACAAAAAAAAAGTTATGAATATTTCCAAGCTTCATAATTTGATGAATTCTTTAATGATTTTGATTAATAATTCTTGATTATTTTGGTACATATGAGCATTTTTGCTTAATTTTATAATAAAACGTAAGCTCTCTATTGTTATTTAATTTACTAAATTCGACATACATAAACTATGTATTATTTGTACTTCAAAGTACATACATATACATAACATATATGTATAATCTTACCATTGGATATGTAATTTGTCGGATTACAAGGTACTCTTTTGTAAAAATTTCCGGACTATAGGGGGTCTTAGGCAGTGCTCTATAATCCGACAAATTCGATAGTTCGACACTGCATAATGTTTGTCAGATTACCGGAGGTCCACTGTATTTCTATTTAGAATAGAGTACAAAGAATATTATATGAGATTCATAAAAATGAACATATCCTTGACTAAACAAAAAATACATCTGTTTTCTAAGCTTTAATAGATATAAATATAAATAGGCTATAAAAAAATTATTAAATATATCTATACACAATAACAGTATCTGCTTTGAGCAATAATAAATTTTTTTGGCAGTTTTTAGATTTTTTTATACATTTGGTAGTACTACATTGCGCCTTAAGTATCAGCAGATATTTTTTTAGAAATGCATTCTAGTAGAGCTTCTAAGAAGTTCGGAAAACCATCATAACCTGAAAGCAAGTTGAAAAATTGCTAAACTATTTTTCACAAGTATTCATCACAGCAAATAACAGATGATTATTTAGAAATATTACAAAGGGTCCCACGTAGTCCAATGAATAGATTATATCTATATATGTTTATATTACATTGTCTCCAAAATTGTGTAGTTTTACTGCCTACTTTTGACTCATTTGCCTACCAAAGTGACAGCATTGTATCAATATCTTACTGGTGGAAACATCTACGAGCCCCTTTCCACATCAGTTGGCCCACTTCAAGGTTTGTACCAAAATATGCCTTTATAAACTAAACATGACGAAACTATTTACTTCTAAAAAAATTTATTTTTTCAAAAACGTTTTAGATACACTCTAGTCGTAAAAAATACATATTTGAAATCACTTAGACCTATAGCTAATAGAACATCTAAACAAATAAACAATGTGCGAATAAATGCGCGAAGTTAACAAAGCAACAATTGAAAGATTACCATTGGGTAACATCACCTTCATTTTTTATTACAGCTGAAACTCTTTGAGGCATAGTGTTAACCAAGGTTTGGCAAAAATTTGGTGTAAAACAATCCCATATTTCTTCAAGCTTTTATCTCAGTTCGGTGATTGTACGAGCAGGATGTTGTCGTAGAACCTTTTTCATCTCGTGCCACAAAGTTTCAATAGGTGACAGATCTGGACTGCTAGCCTTTTTTGAGGTATGGCACGCTGCACCATCTTGCTGTAACACAAAATCTTGGCCGGATGTCAAACATTCTTCCATCACTGGTAAAAGTGATTCTTCTAAAATTGCCAAATATTTGTTTGTATCCACATTTCCATCAATAAAATGAAGTTTTCCTACTCCTTTTGATGACATACTGCCCCAGGCCATAATGGATGCTGGAAATTTCACTTTTTTCTTCAGACAGTCAACATGGAATGCTTAATTTTTTTTGCTAATAACTCTACTGCGACACCAACACAAACATCGAAATCTGGCCTCATCACTCCATTGTATTGCACACCATTGTTGAGGTGTCCGTTGTCTATGTTCTTTAGCCCATCTAAGCCGATTTTTCTTTTGCGGTGGAGTTAATAGTGGCTTTTCTTTGGCCTATAAACAAGTTGTGCAACTTTAGGGTTTTTACTACACTTTTTTTTATAAGAAAACTTACCTTGCAAGTGCTAAATCCCAGTTTGTGGGCCTCTCTATGAGTTGTGGACCTCGAAATTCTCCTTTCAACAGCGTAACTCCACAGAGCACTGTTTTTCACGATTATTCTTCTTAATGTTCTTCAGTAGGCATTTGTGATATTACTTTTTTTCACATATCGTGGCTTAATATTAACTGAACCAGTTACGTTATATCTTCTAACAATATTTCTCACACTGTACCTCGATAAGTCTAACAAAGTTGCAATTTCTGAGTTTGATTTCCCAGAAGTAAAAAATTTCATTATCAGTAACCGAATTTTCTCACTAATAACATTTCCTCTACCCATTTTGAAAAGCTTAACTACCCAAAACTATTTTAAACGTATTCTGACAGCTGTGAATAATAAAAACAATTGTCATGGCTTTTATTTTTCACAGCCACCTATGTGTTATAGACTTATTTTGCATTGAAATGAAAATAGGTTGATATGCTGTAATTGCAACATGTGTTATTTTTATGCTGCAAATTTGATTAGGGAGTGATAGCGTTGGTGTTTTCTACTATATATTATCACAATATTCATTGTTAACATTTTAAACCTATAACACCCTGCTACATTTTTATTATTTGTGTTTGATAAGAAAAAACTAAGATTTCAATAGTTGGGCCAACTGAAGTGGGAAGGGGCTTGTATCTTCATTAGGCTTGTGCCAGCCTTTGCAGTATGTATACATGTACCATGTATTGAAATTGTCTAACACCACAATTATCTAGAAAAACTCACACTTTTGAAAAATAACACTAAAAATAGGAATTTAATGAAAATACTGTCAAAAAATTGAGTTATGAGTTGAGTTATGTCAAGTGGACTGATTCTCACTACAGACTATGAGAATTATAAGACAAAAAAATCGTTGACTGGCTCCTTCTACATGGTCTGACTTTATTGATGTAGACAGAATTGTATTATGTCTTTTGTACTCTACCCAGATTCATCCCTCCTCACAACACTTTTATTTAGAAAAGTTCCTTCACACACAAAAATGCTACAAGCAGAATGGCAGCTCATCATCATGACTATATTTCAAGTCAGATAGGAATTAAACAAACAGTTTTTGACTATGTTTTATGTGAACAGATCTGAATATAGTCCAGCTTTTTACCTCATTCACACCTAATTCATTATTGCCAACACAACAGACTCTCATACAAAAATGTTACTTGCTGATCAGTTGTTTACCACAGTAAACATAAAAACATAATAGATACTGATAATGAAAAATAGTATATATTTATCAGCATTTATAGTGTGGGGTAATTTGTCAACAAATGTTAACTAGATCATTTCAAAGATATATAGTTACACATAAGTTTTATCACCTGGGTAGGCATTCACATCAATGATAGCATATTTTCCAGTAGATTTCTCAATAACTACATCTACACCAAGTAGGTCCATGCCAAATGCTCTCCTCAGTGTCACAGCTATAACTTCAATAACTTTTTCATCAGGCTTTATCCTCTCTGAAACCACATCTTCTGGATCTAACACAGATAATCTTGATCTTGAATCTGCTTTTGACACATCACTCGAGTCAAAGTGTATCGTTTCACATTCTGAGGCCTAAAAACATTTGATACCTGCTGAAGACTTTAAGAATAATAGAAACATGTATAAAGTACGAAATCCTACCAAAAATTCAATGTTTCCCTTGTAATTTAAGTTTGATGACTAGACTGACATTCTGGCTGAATTTAAAATTATATTTAACTGCGAATAATCTATCCCAACCTGTTTTATGTCTATTTGTTTTTTTTATTATTACCTGGAAATTTTTCAGTGATGGTCTCTCCACATAACAAAACTTTTCCCCCATTATATATATTTTGTACAGAATAGCATTGTGACTGATAAAACTTTGTGCTACACATGGTGTCCTGATATCCACAATATACTTTTCACTGAAGACTATGGACATCTCATGGGCACTTCTAGACCCATGTCCCAGCACAGGTTTGCAAATGAATGGATATGTTACATTTGCTATTTTTAGTTGATGCTTCAAAACATCTATGTCCCTAGATTTTAGTGTGCAAAAGTTTGGCGTAAACACACCATAAGTATAAAGGTCTGTGGAATGAATTATGCTATAGGAATTGTATCTATCCAGCAATTTTCTAACATTTGGTAGAGGATCTATCACAATCAAGCTTGGGTTCTGAGAGATATAATTCTCTACTTCCTGGATTATGTTACAACACTGGAAAAAACAAGTATTAGAACTATGAGGAATTGTTAAACAGATTTATAGAAAAATTATAACAAAATGGAAAAAGAAGGTGTCTTCAATTACATCTTAAATAGCCAACAAATTAAAACCTGCAAAATCAATGAGAAATAAATGTAAATAGTTGAAATTCATGGGGTAAAATGTTTCCATATATTAGTGAAAACTATTATCATTAACAAATGAATAACAGAAATGCATACAATTATGAGATCTGAAATTATGCTGTTATTTATTTTCTAATGGATATATTTTTTCTAGTAAATCAGCAAAGCAACTATAAAAAATATGCTCCTAGATTGGCAACTACCTGGATCATGATGTCCTGGGTTTTACTTATTTTTTAACACAAATGTATCTATGCCTAATTGAAAATGTTTTTAATCTAGAGCAATTTTTAAATCCTATAGGCATGACCACTAACTTTAGAATAATCCTATATGGCTAATAAAATTATCAGACTTCCCCAAAACACTCATATCCATCTTGAATTATCTCAAGAAAAATGATTTCATGTTATGTACATAGCAGCATAATATTGGACATTTTACCTAGCATGTAATTTGTGAGTGATAGTGAAACCAATAATTAAAATCACATTACATGAAAAGAATGCTGAAAATAAATAGTATTCAAAACTAGTGGTAATTAATCAACTTGTCACAAAATGAGTCTATCTGTAATTTTCTAATTGCTTATTCATTGTTTAGTACATAAGTAATTGAATATTCGTTACTACAATCATGAAAATACCTACCCTAATATCACCTAAGTTCGCAGAAGCAATAATATCAGTTAACTTATGCACTAAAACACAAAAAGGGCCTTGCGATTCAATGCTGTCGTTCAAATTTAACTGAAAAGGTTTGAATGAATATGATGTAAATAGTAGATCAAGGAATGATAAATATTACTTACTTTGAACACCTCGAAGCCGTAGCTGTGACACACAGACTCAAATTCCTCCCAGTTCACTTTCTGCAATTTTTTTTCGGACATCCATACAGCAATACGCTTGTTCGAAGGCATTTTTTTATGAAAATTGGGAATTATTTACAACACCCTCCTAAAACATCAAGCACGCTTTGATTAGGCATGACGTTTGTGTAACTGACAGCTGACACATTGGACAGGGGAAATTATTTTCTACCAATTTCTATTTGGTAGCTCTAAGGACAGGGTCGTAATGGAAAATAGTAATTCTCTAGTTTGGGTACATCAACCTTTCATGTTTGTCCATAGGAATAATCACTAGGTTTGGGTTGCAAATGATGGAAGTGAGATCAAAAATGCCCACAAAAGGGTTAGTTGCAGAATATTTTTAATATTATTTAGGTTTTAAAACGGATCCGATACATGCCGTGACCTTGCCATATTGAAGAAATTTTAAGAAAATCAACGAAAATACGCATTTCCATGCATAGCAGCTCTCATTCCACTCTAGAATTTGCTCTCTTCTGAGTAGCGGCGCGCGTGCATTTGACGTTAGCCCTGTTCGTACAGCTGTCGCCAACCTATCAGTGATCGTGTCCAAGATCCAGCCACACAAATTCCGTTCATTCTGCTAAGCTATATAGACGGAATTCACAGACACAGTCAGCAACAAGTCACTGACCAAGCCATACATAAATACGTGGTTATTAAGAATATCCTTTAACACGAAAACAGATCATGTGGAAAAAATCAAATTAAAACCTGAAGAAATGATGGAAAAAGAAGTATTTGAAATTGAAAGCATGCAGGATATTTTAAATGGTTGTAATTGTGCACAACGCGAACCTATGAAGTAATGAAATTTGACCGCAATGCTCAACGTACAGAAACAATCATTCAACAAAAACCTATTATATAGTAAAATATTTCAGAACTTTCTTATTTGCGCTCATGTTCGGTCTCATTCATTTCATCTACACCCAAAAACTAGGGTCTGAAATCAATTTTTCATCCAAAACGACTGGTGTAGCTAAGCTAGAGAATTACCTGGAAAATATTTGTAACCTATGAACATGGGAATCTGTTTCGTCTCTGTAATATACTTTGATTGATTTATGACTCATTACTCTAAGATCTTTCAATAACTAAATATAGGGCTAACCCAGCTGGTGACAAGCCCTACTTTTTTCCCCGACGTCTCGTCACACGCCAGTAGCCTGCTAGATCTCTTTCTGACCACGCATCCTGTCCCTTACAACACTGCTGTCCTGTCCCCCCTGGGTAACTCAGATCACGGTGTTGTGGAGATTAGGTTTCGGTCAGAACCCGCTGTTGCAGCACACACTCGTACAGGCCGCAAAACTTGGCATTACGGACATGCCGACTGGGAGGGGCTCAGAGACTTCTTCTGCAGCTTTCCTTGGAAAGATGTCTGTTTCACTGACGCGGATGCGTCGACTGTCTGTTCTTCGATAACCGAAATTATCCACGTCGGAATGGAGGAATACATCCCACACACAGTGAAAGTGCCTAGACCAGGGTCTAACGGCTCGTTTAACAAATCGTGTGACACTGCTCCCCAGCAGAAGATCAAGGCACACAGAACCTACTTACAAAACCCCACTGTAGAGAACAGACAAGCCGACGTCGAGTCCAGAAACAAATATAACGTAGCGGTTCGCAATGCCAAAAACCAGCACGATATAAAAGTTAGGCACAGGGTAATGTCGCAGCGCAATGGCAGTCGGTCTTTCTGGACGCTGGTTAAGCAGATTGAAAAGAACTTCTCACACAGTAGCCTTCCACCACTTACGTGTCAGGATGGAACTATTGTATTCGACTCAAAGGCCAAGGCGGAAGTGCTAGCCAAGATCTTTGCTGCCAACTCCACCATGGAGGTCCCCACCAACGCCCAAGTGCCGTCGATTCAAAGGGTTTCCCACACTATGCGGGAGGTAACATTCAGGCATAAGACTGTAAGACGAGTGCTCTTGTCGCTCGACATCAACAAAGCTTCTGGTCCAGACTTGATTCCTGCCATTGTACTGATGTGCAGCGGAGCTTGCTCCAGTTCTTTCGCGTCTCTTCCAGATATCTTCTGAATCCGGCACCTTCCCAGAAAACTGGAAATTTGCTCATGCCCAGCCCATCCCAAAAAAAGTATCTAAGACCGACCCTTACAACTACAGGCCTATAGCTCTGCTTTCTGTTATAAGTAAAGTCATGGAGAGGTGCATAAATCGCGAGCTTCTGGACTACCTCGAACGTCACAGCTTGATTAGCGACAGGCAGTACGGTTTCCGGCACCAACGATCCACAGGGGACCTCCTAGCTTACGTCACGCAATTGTGGAGTAAACTCATCCAGTCTCATGGTGAGGCTCATGTCGTTGCTCTTGACATCACGAAAACGTTCGATCAGCTGTGGCACGCTGCCCTCTTAAGCAAACTTCCAGCCCATGGCATCCCAGAAAAGCTTTGCAGATGGGTGGCTGACTTTATCTCTGGCCGCAAGATATCCGTCGTAATTGACGGATTCTCCTCTTCATCCCACAACGTCAAGGCGAGTGTTCCCCAGGGATCGGTCTTGGCTCCAACACTGTTTCTCTTACATATCAACGACCTCCTTTCGTGCACGATCAACCCAATCCACAGCTACGCTGATGACATCACTCTACATGAAGGAATTCAGAGTGACAAGCCGACATCTGCCGCTGAGCTGGAAAAATGAAGACTAGTGGCGACTTCTTCTCTGACAAGAGACCTGGAGGCTATCACTGCTTGGGGACGCAACAATCTTGTACAGTTCAATGCTTCCAAAACACGGTACTGTACTTTGACGAACAAAAAGCGTCCTAGCGCTCATACAGTTTCGATGGACGGCCGAGTTCTACCAAAGAGCCATTCATTTCGGCTGGTCGGAGTCCAGATCTCCGAGGACCTGATCTGGCACGAACACATCTCATTAGCTGCAGCTGCTGGGAAAAAGCTAGACTATTTGTTTAGGGCTAGGAAGTACTTTTCTCCGCATGACCTTCTCACTCTATACAAGGCCCAGATAAGGCCTAGCCTCGAGTATTGCTCACACATTTGGGGTGCTGCCGCCCCGACTACATTGTCCATGCTCGATGCTGTCCAGAGGAGGGCGGTCCGACTGATCGATGACTCTTCTCTAACAGACAGTCTCGGGACTCTTTCGCACCGGCGGGCAGTCGGCGATCTAGCTCTTTTCTATCGCTACACCAACGGGCTTTGCTCCTCAGAGCTCTCTTCATGATGTCGCCGCGCGATGCGCCTTCCCGACAGACCCGCCTGACTTCGGCGTCCCATCCTAACCGTGTCAAACTTCATACATCCAGAACTGGCCGATACGACTGCTCCTTTGTCCCGAGGGTGTCTTTTTCCAGTTCTACTAACCTTAGGCAGTTCAGAAATCGTATTAACAAAATGTCTTTGGGATCATCATAGCAGCCGCGGTGTTCCGGCATTTAGACTTCTGCCTGCGCGGCTGTTTCGGTATAAAAAAAAATCTAATTAAATATGCCGCATCGAAGTTTGGATTACTTCCTTGACCAACTTTTTAAAAGTACTTATACTAGCTACACCACGGCTGAGTCTGTCTCTGTATGGATATTTAGGGATTAGGGGAATAGGTTTTAAGAGCAGTACCTGACATGCCAAAACTGTCAGGTTTAGCACTGACAGCCGACAGTTTAATGAAAAAATTCAAATATTATCTGAAAATTAAAGTTGCAAAAAGTTAAGAAGAAGATTTCATCAATTTTAACTAGGTTGTTGTTAAAATCAAGTTGTTTTGTTTCTGCATGCACTAAAACATATCTCTTAGAATGTCTGAATACGACAGAGGAAAATTTCACACGAAGAAAAAGTTTTACAGCACCAGTAGGGTAAATTTATGAAAAACCAAAACATCCATTGTTTATTAAAACCTAGGTGTCCTTATTAGGATCCCGCACACAACGCTGGTAGAAACTTTTTCGGGAGCAAATATGAAACTGGGCCATCATCAAAATCCAAGGAGTCGTCTGGCGAGTCTCACAGTTTGAGAAAGCCTCCTACAATACTGATCAAAGCAAGAGAGCCTACTGAAGATATTGGGGCTTCTCCAAAACGTACCCAAAAAGATGAACCTCCACCACCTGTTGCAGTTGCATCAACAACTCGAGAGACTGAGGGTAAGTATGGTCTTTCTATAAATATATTCACTACGTTTACATCAAATAGAATTAAGATTTATTTAGGATATCGATAATCTTAATACGTTAAGCGCCACTCAAAATGTTAGAAAAATGCCCATCAGGCCAAAGTGTCAGTCATGTTTCCAACAAAAAATGTGTAATCTACCATCTACGTCAAAAGGTGACCCAAGATGGGAAAAACATGTACTGAAAAAAAAAGAAGGGAAATCACATGAACTCAGAATGTATTGTAAAGGATGTTCTAATAAAAAATAAGGGGTGAAATAACAAAAAATAAAATTCCAAAAGTTACTACATAATAATAAATAATCTTTTCAAAATAACAGTGCACAATTACATATTGAAGGAAATCCCCACTTTTGCCTTGACTGTTTTGGAACAAGTCATAAATGAATGTAATTATCTTATATTTTGTATCCCAGTATCAGAACTTATTATATATATATATATATATATATATATATATACATTTCTACTGGAATCTTGTTTATTTGTGTCTAAGTTGTTGTGTAGATTTAGTAGGAAATAAATGATGTGAATCAAAAAAAATTGAATAACTATTTAAAACAAATATATACCAAAAAGTTGGCATATGCATATAATCGATACAAGCCACAGTGGTCCATATCTAACGCTAAAATGAATTTAAATATGGATCTGTGGCTGAAGTCACTGTGGAAGTCCAATGGGACCTCTATGGCGTTTAAGTGTTAAATATGAGGAGTTTTTAGTGTTGCACAGTTGGTCTAAAGTCGTCTATTTTCAGTGCCTTGACAAGATGACAAGTAAGATTTACTTTGATGTGAGTGCCCACACAGTTCCTAACATTGGATTGAAGTGTTTTTATTAGTAAAGACAAATCCAAATTTTAATCCAGTCCCACTAATTTGGAGGATTAGCTCATCCTATTAAAAGGAGGATCCAAACTGTATTGGGAACTTTGAATCTTACTTGTAAGATCATCCTGCATACATCTTCAATATAAACATAATTGAAGACATGTTGCTCAAAAACCATATTTTGAATACTTTACATATTATGTTTATATGAGAAGTGCAAGGTTGCAACACTTCTTACTTCAAATCTGCAGCAAAACACACTGATACAAAAAATGTGTTGCACTATCACACTTACAATAAATATAAAAGTTGAAGGCTCATTATAATATACCTATTTACATTCATTTGTTTCGACTTTTGTTTTTATTGTGAATGTAGTGGGGCAACACAACAATTTTCATATATGTGTGTTTTATAGATTTGAAGCCAAAGACTAGCAGCAACCCTCTCTGACGACAGACGTGGAGGTTATCACTGTATTACTATTATATATTATATTACTGTACCTTGAAGATCAAGCAGCTCATCCGGTTTCGATGGAGTTCTACCAAATAGCTGTCCATTTCAGCTGGTTGGAGTCCAGATCACCAATTACTTGATCTGGCACAAACACATCTCATCAATAGCAGCAGCTGTCAGGAAAAAGCTAAACAATTTGTTTAGGGCTGAGAAGTTCTTTACACCACACATATAAGGACCAGATAAGAACTAGCCTTAAGTACTGCTCACGTGTTTGGGGTGCTGCTGCCCCAACTACATTATCCATGCTCGATGCTCTATAGAGGAGGGCTGACCGACTGATCGATGACTGTTCTCTGACGAACTTTGGCAGCGGCGATCTAGCTCTCTTCTACCGCTACGCCAACGGGCTGGGCGCCTCAGAGCGATCTACCTGCCAGACAGACCCGCCTAACTTCAACGTCCCATTCTAACCACGTCAGATTTCTACATTCAGAACTGGCCAATATGACCGCTTCTTTGTCCCTAGGGTATCGAAATTGTGGAACAATATACATGAGGAGGCTTTTTCCCGGTTCTACTAACTTTGGGCAGTTCAAGAATCGGATTAACAATTTTCTTTAAGCTCCTCATAGCAGCCGCGATTTTGAAAAACGACGTATTCACATAAAAACAGAAAAAGTTAAATATCCGAAAATGGGTGAATTTGAAACAAAAATGGCAAACTAGGGAACATCGACTTATAAATTAATGACAAGCAAATACTAAAATTGAAAAAGGTTGATCAAAGCCTAAAATACATATGTTCTAAAAGTCCATAGATGTAATCAACTTGAAACTTAAGAAATACATTATTGGATAAGGTTAATACTGTGAGGCAGAGGGTAACAAAATTATTAATTTTTTGTAGTTCAACAGCAACCTATCACAAAAACTATGACAAAATCCATCAAGCTCATAGATGAAGGAGTTTTGTGTTCTGAAGCATTACAAGATTACCTCCAAGATAACAATGAATTTCTGGTAGTTGGTGTAATAGGCACAGAAAGTGTAGGAAAATCAACAATCATGAATCTTTTGGCTCACAATAGATTAACACTAGAGTTGAAGAAAGCTTTATTTCCTGTTTATGAAGAACATGAAGAGCATGAAGATCATGTGAAGATTCTCACAGATCATGTGGAAAAAATCAACTTAAAACCTGAAGAAATGATGGAAAAAGAAGTATTTAAAATTGAAAGCATGCAGGATATTTTAAATGGTTGTAATTGCACACAAGGCATTGACATGTTTGTCACTGAAAACAGGGTACGTTCTGCTCAGGTTTGCATAGGAAATATATAAATTTTATAAAATAACACCTTTTTTCAGTTGATTCTCTTGGATTGCCAGCCAGTAGGATCTGCAGCAATTCTAGAAGATCTCATAAAATCAGAAACCAAGAGAACAAATTTGGTGAGTGAGTTTATACCACCTGAGAACAGTGGTGAAATTCAAAGCCTTCAGTTGACTGCATTTCTGATGTCAGTTTGTCATGTTCTACTTGTAGTCCAAGACTGGTTTTTTGATAGTTACATTATCAGGTAAGATATATTTTATCAATGTTTTGTTTAACTCAGTTATGTTTTGTTTTCCATTCCATCAACTTTTATTATGATGATGTGAATTTATTTCTTCAGGTTTGTTCAGAGTGCTGAAATGTTGAAGCCAACTATTCCAAACCCAGAGGATGAGCTATCAGAACACTACCCTCATTTAGTTTTAGTTCATAATAAGGCACAATTGGAGGATTTCAACCCATCAACTTTCTATGAAATGCACTATGTGGGTTACAATTCACAAAAGAATGAAGGATCACTAAATATGATTTTTTTATATTTTAGGTTTACAACATGCTGCTTAGGGATACTAAGCTGAATAAATCTGAACTTTGCTTGGGGATGAACAAAATTTTCAAGCATTTTGATGAAGACAAGTCACTGATAAACCTATTTTTAATTCCTGAAGTCGATTTAACAAATGGTAAAGTTGATTGTAAAAAAATACTTGGTTTGACTTAATTTTGTGCGAAAATAATAATTATAAATACAGATAGAATATTTTATGCACTCACAAAAATATATTGTCAGGATTAACAAAAGGAATTACAGTGGAGCCACGATAATCCGGTCCCCCTGTAATCCGACTCGTCTATCACTATTGGGGCACGCCTACCACTATTGGTGGATATAAAAAGGTCTGCAAATATTCACTAATATAATGTACAGGTTATAACTTGTACGCGCCATCACTATTGTGCTCGACGCATATTTTTTCACTTTGAATTTGACTGTATACATGTAATAGCGGCCTAGCGAGCATTCATTGTTGTTTATTGTTTTCATTGTGTGTCACATATGTATACATACCTAGTAACGTCTTCACAAGTCCCAAAGTGAAAACACTGGCAATTAAGGAAAAAAGTAATATTTTGAATCGCTTAAATCGTAATGAATCCCTCAGCTGCTTAGCAAGTGAGTATGGTATAGGTCGATCTACAATCTATGACATTAAAAAGAACCGCGAGAAGATTCGTTTCAACTACTGACTGTGTTCCAAGCAAAATACAGATGCTCAAGAAAGCTGAACGTCCAGAACCGGAAGAAGCTTTGTACATGCGGTTTCTTCAGGAAAGAGACAGCATGTGCCGATTACGGGACCCATGTTGGCCACAAAAGCTAAGTTTTTTACAAGGGAATAATGAAAAAATGGCGTTAAGTCGGTTGACTCTGCACTTCATACCCAACGCCGTCATCAGTTTATAAAGGATTAAGTTCAGCGCAATTTAAATCTTCTGACAAAATATTGCGTTACGGACATGTAGAACAGAGAAATTAAACGAATTAAATCAGTCAAACAGGCACATAGACGTTATTTTCCTATCCTTTTGGTAGTTACCGACCATGTGGCAATGTTATCCCTTTCCACATCTGCGCGGCATCTCTGCAGCGAGTTATCTTTCGGTTTGGGCTTCAGTACGAATACATATAAAAGCCAGGCGGTTCGCTTTGTTAGGCACGAGTACGCGGATTGACAAATTTCTCTATCATTCCAAGTTTCATTCAAAATTCATATACGCTCCCCACCCCGTAGAACTCCCAAATTTCAACCCCTACAAAGAGTTTGCTAAAAATGGTCAGGACTCTGAAACGTCAAAAACCAAAGTTTGAGCGATTTGTTTTTTCGTTTTTGGTCTTTTTCTCCGCCATCACTAGACCGATTTTCAAAAACGACAGAGATTTTTCATCATTGGCATATTAGTAAGCTTGTGTGAAAATTTCATCAAAATCCGAAAACTTTTCAAGTTACAGGCGGCTATAAAATTAGCAGACAGATCGACAGACCAACGGAAATGAATGATATGGTTTTTCGTGATGTAGTATACATGTCATATAACATCCAAAAAATATATCTCAATTTCCAAATTTTTCGAGATTACAATACCTACTTCCTCGCCAGTTTTGGCATAGAAAGTATGACTTTGTGACTAGCAAGGGATGGCTAGATCATTTGAAAAGTCGTTATGGCATACGTTCCTACAACGAAATTTACTTTTGAGAAGAGAATAAGGGACAAAGCTTTGCTTTCGCGCTTAAACAAAACCTAAACTTAAAACAAAATAAAATGGATATTTTGATGCCTTATGAATTGCTTGGTACATATTAATTATTCTTTTGTAATTTTACTTTTTGATTATTCGTAATATCCTGTGGAACACATATTTTTAGGACAAATATGTACATATGTTTGAACATAATTATTTCCTAAAGTAAGTATAGTTATTGTTTTTTGCAAGTTCTATAGCACTGATATATACATACTCGTATATATTATAGATATACATAATTATGTAGTATGACTCGTAGTTCAAATAGATTTTTTGATTTGTAATTCGTCCGATTATAAGGTATTATTTTTCAAAAATTCCTAACCATAGATGGTTTTAGACAATACTCTATAATCCAACAAATTCGATAATCCGACATCGGCCTGTTCACAGTAAGACTATGATTTATTTACTAATTTTCTAACTTTGTTCCAGATGAAATCTATTCGGGTCATCCACCAATAGAGGAGATGGTAAAAAGATTCAGAACTGAAATCTTGAGAGCTAGTAGGAGTCCTCTGACGCATGTGCAGCTGTCTGAAAAAACTTGGATCATGTACTGTTCGAAAGTGTGGGAGACTGTGAAGAAAAGTCCATTCTTTGTAGAATATACAAAGTTGATGCCATGAACTCAGCCATCTTCGTATAATTGAGCATGTTTTGAAGAAAATACGTCTTTCACTCTAGATATGAATGCTGATCTAATGGGTCAAGTAAAATACTAGCTGTAGCTAATGAACAATTTTATTTTAAGATGTACAATGACTCATAGTTCATATTTTGTTAATTTTGCTGTTTGCAGAAACAAGTATCATACTAGCTTCAAAGCTTTGTGTAACCGTAACTTAATTCAGTACTGCCAGGGTTCGTTTTTGTTAGATTTTTTTACCCATACTATTTCAGTATTTGAATATTGTGTGATTTATTTGTTAAAACCACCTGGCAGAACTGAGTTAATCATTAGTAAAGAACAACTCTAAATTGTATTGCATGTTCATTATATTTAGAACACAATATAGGCAACAAAATATAACAGTATTAATAGAATTACAAGTAATAACAACAAAATTTAGTTCAAAAACATTATTAACATTTGTAACTGAATCTGAAAGACGGTAATAAAATATGCTATACCAATTCCGAATTTGGCCCTATTGATTATTCCATGATGCTCTGGAAATTATCAAACTGATTCACTTTATGATTATGATAATCTCGAGAAACTCCTATTTATTTCAAATATCAATAAAGTATCGGAGAAATATGTGAAATATCAGACAATACGTCGTTTACAAAAGAATGGATCCGGTTTATTTTTTAATCCTTAGGTATATAAATACATATATATAATTTGTCAAAATGTTATATCACTTCCTCATGTCTTCGAATTTTCGGTGAACCAGTTTGGTATCTCTTTACTAGAAAATGGAATGAGTTGGCTAATATAAAATAAGCACAGATTTTGTTTTCTAGAAAACCGGAGTAGAGTCGAGAACGTTCCATGGTGGAGAGTGTTGAGCAAATCGCGACAATGCACGTCAGAAATATTTCACCTGTCGTTGCTTAAAGTACAACGAAAAAAATGAGCAATTATGAAACCCGTATCTGACTCTGGTTGCTACAGAAGTTGCACGTTACATGCGAGGTGATAAGACTGGCACCGTAGCGTTCGATCTGACAACACTGGATGCGCCGGACTTGGAGGGGAAACAGAGGAACATATCACTCGTATAATTTTTGGTTGCCCGTAACGATTTTTTTTTGTGAAAGTTTTTTCTATAATGTTCTAAAGATGAGTGAAAACACATAACAGACGTACGCAAATGGATGAGCTTCGTTGGTAATTACTGGATCATCCACCATACAGCCCTGATTTACCATCACATCATCAGACTTTTATCTTTTTCCGAAACTTAAGTAATTTTTTGGTGGAAAGGGCTTGGAAAATGATGACATGTTGAAAGAAATAGTAACTAAGCTGGTGCCACCAATCGACAATGATCAAATGTTTAGGATGACTGTATTGAAAAATGAAATAAAGTCCATATCTTAGTTTGTGGTACAATTTACGTTCATAAAGTTTCTCTCGCATTAGAAAACGGTTCTCACTTAGAAAATGGCCCTAACATAATCTTAGAAGATTAATTGCAGAACATTCTCGAAGCAGTACGCGTGATTTGCACAAAACAAAATCATTTCCAAGACTTTCAAGTTTGGTGTTTAGGTACCCCCACCAATTGAGCACAAATCAACTTACATATCGAGCAGAGGTCTTTGGACATCGTTTCGGCGTACCCTTAACTGACTACAACATCTCACTGTAGACGAAAAGGGGGTTATCGATAATTTCAACCATACTCGCAGGCGTCAGTAGCTGGACCCAACCAGGCAAATCTACAGCAAAAAGAGATATTCATCCTCGCAAGGTGATATTCTCAGTGTAGAGTGATGTACATGGAGTAATACACTGGGAAATTCTTCCTACTAAAAATCTGAAGCTTGAACTTCGTCCTAATAAGCGTCCACAGAACAAAATATTTTTTCTCCATGACAGTGCCCGACCTCGTAGTACCCGACAAAATCTGCTGGATCTGAACTAGAAAATTGTGCCACACCCTCCGTATTCACCATACCTAACCCCAACACATTTCAGTTTATACCGACCACTTATTATTTTACAGGAAAAAACTTTGATGGTGAACGGTTACAACAGATGATTTTACAAAACTAGTGACCAGCAATCATCATTTCATGAATAAGATCTTAAAGTTATATGTGTCACTCTTATTTATTAGCCAACCCGATAGATGCCAAAGTTGGAAAAGCTGTGAAATAGCGGGATTCAAACAGTTTACTTAAAAATTGTTTGCATGAGGGGTCTTTTCCTAGCTACCATCGGTTTATACGAATGTTGGTAGACTGTAGCCAACCTAAAATGTTCGGGGTACTCCTCCCGATTACAAGCTTTCTGAAAAGAAAAGGGCGGGGCTAAACTATCTATTGTATAACTCCTAAACGCATATGGATTCCTTGGTTTAGGTATTTTCAAATAATACCAAGATCTACTTACTGTTTTTTGAGGCACTCCAGCTTTAAACGCCATCTTATATTCCGCTTTTGGACGAGTGTCTTTCAACGGATTCTTCTTAAGCTCGCAAGCAACGCAATATTTGTTGAACAACGGTTTTTGTTTTTTCCTACAGCAGTGCGCGGCGTTGCATCTAGTATCATCATTGTTATTGAGATTTGGGGTGCTCTTATATACATTGTTTTTATTGTTAGAACCACAACTGCCCTTTGAGTTTGAACTACTATTAGAGCTTCTATCAATATCGTGAACGTTAACAGCACTCTTTGCTCGGGATCTCAAGGTACTGTCTACAGAAATATTGTTTTTAACAATGTAAGCGCTTTTAGCGCGGGATGATTCGCTTGACCTTCTAGTATGCTCGTGAACGCTGTCTGTTGGAGTCTTGGTCCTATGGAAAAAGAAGTCCTTGGTGTCGTCTCCCTTGTTTGAATGGTCAAACATGGGGCCACAGCCGTGAATACCATCACAGTTTTCTTCGTTCATTTCTGGTTCTTTCTGTTCTTCGTCTTTAGGTGTCTGGACCAGGGTGAAGACAGCGGGTGCGACAGAGCCATTCGAACCTTTATAATAATAATTTGTATTATTATAAAAAATCGGGTATTTTACTGTTCAGATTTCTGATAGTCTGATCTTATTTCATAGTGCAGGTATAAAAATAACCAAGTTTTCTTAGTAAAATACATAAGACTTAAATAATACCCGAGATATTAGGTTCTGAAGAAATTTGCGATATCAAATGCTTCCAGTCAAGGGCTCTGTTACAAGGTCATAACAGTCATAACAATTACTCCATCTATTTTAAAGGTTGCGTCTAATTTAATTTGTGCAAAAACGTCAAAAATAAGGTTAACTATAGTGTTGTCTGGGTATGTTTCGACAAATTGATCAAAACGGTGATGAAAATTTGCTAAATACTATCACATATACCAACGTGCAGTCATTAAGCGATTTAGGTAAAACTGAAGGCTGACAATGACTCCCCCATATTATACACGTAACAACAAGTTGTGTTTGTCTTCAAATAAGTGATATTGAACGTTTTTAACTATATAATTCATATCGGTCGGCATATGGGCAGTCATGGCCGATTCGTATATCGGCAAATTGGGCCGATATAAATACCGATATCTGTCGATCTCTAATTTCTATAGCAATAGCAAACTTGTCTATACTATTAGTTTATCTTGAGTGTCTTCAAGAGGCTGCTGATGTTTCGGGAGTGTATTCAACTCGTTTTTCTAGACGTTATTTCCACCCCACTCTGCGTGGGGTGGGAATAATGGGATTTGCAGGAAAGCCAAGGTGGGCACATATAGATAGACCCAAACAGAGGCGAATCTATCATGTCTAGTTCCCGAAGCAAGCTTCTGAGGCTCCAAGTCTGCAACTGAAGGGGCAAATTCGGGCTTAGCTTGGGTGCCCGACGTACAGTGCCAGTGAGTAATGACGTAATTCCGTCTCTGCCCCCGAATATCGCAAATTTAAGGAGAAGTTAACAAGCTTATGCTTTTCAGTCCAGCCGTCAGTACTCCAACTGTCAAGTGAATGATATGCTTCCCTTTATTTTTTTTCAATTTATCGCTGCTGTTTTACCGCAAATTAGCCTCGTTATTTCAGACATACTGGTTACTAAAAAGGAAAGTCTTACATTTCAAAACATCGTTTAGAGATAAATATTCTAAATGATTGTTTCAATTTTATTTGGGGAGAAATTATTATTATTGGTGAATCATTGTTTAGTACATGGTGAATTCCCATCAAAATTAAAGTGTTCCACCATTATTCCTGTGCCAAAAATTCAACATTCTCAGCTGTATAAAAATATGCCTTGCCAGATGTCGAGAAACTGTTCGAAGGGGTAATATACGAACAAATCATTGAATTCATTGAAGAAACCAAATTTTGAAAAAAAATCAAGCTGGATTTAGAAAAAAATGTTCTACAGTAACGGCTATCCAAATGGTGGTGGAAGACTGGAGAAGTATAGATGAGAAAGAATGTATTGCAACAGTACTTTTAGACTTCAAAGGGGCATTTGAGACTAGAGCTAGGGAAAATTGTTAATGAAATTGCATCACTATGGCTTTAAAGGATCAGTATTAAACATTTTACAAAATTATTTAGTAAATAGAAGTAAAAAAACTAAAGTTGTAAATATTATATCAAGCGTTCAAAATATATGAGTAGAGGTGCCACAGCAGAGTGAATTATTTACATAAATAATATCTCTGACATTTTAGAACACTGCATAATTCAAATATTTGCGGACGATATATTGATATATATTTAGCACATAAGCATTTGGACACTGCTTTAGCATTGTTAGTGGTATTAAAAAAATTATGAATTGGTTAAATGTCAATAATCTTAAATTAAACACTAATAAAACAAAATGTATGTCAATAGGGAAACATTTAGGTGACAATAGAATTAGGCTCATGATTAATGATGAAAAAATTGAAGTAGTCGAATCATTTAAATATCTTGGTATATATGTGGATAGCAAACTACTGTTTACAAGCATTATTTAAAAAATATAAAAAAAAATAAATTACTTCTGTAGAGTTTCCCATAAGCTTAGTATGTATTCCAAAAACAATTGTGTATAACACTATAATTCTTCCCCATTTTTTATATTGTTGAACCATCTTGTTTATAACAAATGAAAACATATTTTCAAAATTACAAATTCTACAAAATGAATCTATGAGAATCATTTTAAATAAAAACAATTATGCTAGGATTAATCTATGTTAGAAGAACTACAGTGGTTAAATCTGAAAAATTACATATATGATTTAGTACTCATTTTCATATTCAAATTAAAAAATCATTTATTACCACCACATTTAGAAAACTTCACAAAATTAAATAGTCATTATCATAACTACAAAACTAGAGACAGTATAGATTTTCACCTGCAAATTGTAATAGCATGACTAGTAAATCTATATTTCAAAAGGGAGTATTTGAATCTAATAAATTGAATAATGATATTAAACAGTGCTCGAATTTAAAAATGTTTAAGGTGAAATTAAAAAATCACTTTATGAATAATCAAAATGCATATTGATGTAATTTTAATAGACAAGAATGTAAAATTACAGAAAATGGATTGAGGAAAAATATGTAACCGAATCATTATACAAAATTGACATTGTAGCATTAATGCTAAATAAATCTTGAATAAACAAACAAACAAAAGGTATTTCATTGGACTGATAGTTTTTTTTTTACTGTGGCCTCACACGTTGTACGCGAATAAAGTTGCTTACCATCAATATGAGGAGGTGGTTTGGGCTCATCATTAGGGTCTTCTGGAGTAAGGTCCCAACATATTGCCAGGTCCATAGGTGCAACTTTTCTCTGTCGGATAAATCGCCATCTTCTGTCAAAACTCGTGATGGAGTTCAAGTCATCTTCGTTGGACTTTGGTGCCCAGGTTTTTGGTCGAAATACTTTGAATTTGGTGCATCTGGTAGGTCCATAACCTGGGTAGCCTTTGTAACCTATACCTAAATTTAGATCGTCAAAGTCTGAAAGAAACCCTGCGTTTCTGACGAAGAATACAAATAGTGTTTTTCAGATACGCAAAAAAATCTTAAAGCCAACATTCTACACTTGTTGCCACATTTGGATATTATCATATATCAAAAAATGCTTTCTGTAAAAATCTTGAAAAGGGTGCAATGGCTGCAACCCTTATTAAATTGTGTACTGCTTTTAAGGAGATCTCATTGCTTGAAGTGAGAGACTGTGTACATACCTGTTACATTGCACTCCTCGTCAAGTGCAAGACCAGGTTCTTCAGCTCTCTGCATCTGCAATTTCTGATAAGCAGCATGGGTAACTGTATCAGGCAGTGGTTGATGCTCCAAATTTTCTCGATGCAACTTTTTTGCCAAGGAAAAATTGGAAATAGCATTCAAAATAGGCGATGACAGCCTAGATGACTTTTCTTTAGAAGATCCCGTTGTTTTTGGTCTTGATTCGCAGTGTTTCATATCTTCCTTTAGTTCACAGGGTTGACTGGCATTTTGTGTCAGTCCCTCTTGTGCTTGATCGCGTCTAGTGAAGTCTTCTCTGACTTTTGGAAAGCCTCTTCGTATCTCTGGTTCTCTACTTGGATAGCGATTTTTAGCAAGTTCATAATAACTGTCTGGACGATTTTCTTCAGTGAAATCACCTGGGACGTAAGGCTGAATATTTGAGGCGTTCAAATTTTCTTTATTACCTTCCTGTAAAAGACAATGTCACAGATAATTGACTCAAGGTCTCAGAGTAAGATACGATGATTTGAACGTTTCCGAATCAGTACGTTCTTCCCAATTATGAAATGATATAAAAATTAAATGAAAATTTTCTTTGTTTAGACCTACCCGAGTATTTTCATCTTTCATTTCATCTCTGATCTCTTTCGTATCATGATCTTCCTTTGTCCCAAGATGTTCTTTTGTCTGGTCTTCCTTTTCATACTCTTGTTTAGACTTCTTATCTATACTTTGTTTTTTGGATTGTCTGAGTTTTTCTAATTTTTCCAAACCACTGATTTTGTTCGCTAGAACAAACATTGCAAATAATATAATTTAAAAAGAAAACAACTTTTTAGCGCGTAATTTCTTTCACAATTCTGATAATTCCTCAAACTACAAGTCAGTCAATGATAGATATTCTCAAATAAAGTATACCATACCAGTTCTTCTGTCAATCTTCTTAGGCAGTCTCCAAGAACTTTGGAAATCTCCCCAAGGATCTAGTTGTCTTCTTGGAACACTTGGAAGAAGATGACCCCTTTCATCAGCTATTGGACTTGTAATGCCAATTCTTCTTTTAGGCCTTGCAGATGTTATTTTGGGTACTTCCCAGTTGCACAACCAAGTAGGTTTAAAGGATCCTTCATACTGTACATGGAGAAATGTACTAATTCATTATAGAGATCAATTTTTGTTGTTTTTGTCCAGTTGACGTTCTATACATTGGGATTTGGTTGAACAGAATAAAGTTCATTTATAAATAATGAAAATGTACATAAATATACTAAGTGACATATAAATCCGAACACCCAGTTTAAATGGTTTTATTTTAATAAAATTTTGTATAAGTACTTAATGAAGCATAATAAGTAAATGATAAAAATTTCAAAATGATTGCACTGCTTTAAAGCCCTTTGACCTTTAATGATGTGTGGATGCACCCTGATGTGCTACGTATTCTCCAACGCGCCTAGGCATGCTTCTGATCAGGTGGTCAATGTCCTCCTGTGGTATCTCATTCCAGGCAACCACCAACTCCTCTCGAAGTGCTTCTAGAGTCTGAGGAGGACGTTGCAAATTGAGCAATCTCCTACCAATCATATCCCACACGTGCTCAATTGGGGATAAGTCGGGAGATCTTGGTGGCCATGGTAACAATGTGACATCATTATGTTGAAAGAAGTCTATTGTGACTCTTGCAACATGTGGTCGGGCATTATCTTGTTGGAAAGTTGGATCTGCCAGGGTGTCAAGATAGGGTAAAAGATGGGGTTCTAGAACTTCGTGGATATAACGCTGCGCGTTCATGTTACCTCTGATGAAGATTAAAGGTGACCTGGAACCATAAGCTATAGCACCCCAAACCATAACTCCAACAGTGTGATGAACATGTATTTCAACAAAAAACTGTGGATTCCTCCTTTCACCACGTCGCCTTCTAACCCTTACACCGACGTAATCGCCTTGAGTGGTGCAGACAACGGTCACTCTGGGATCAGGAATGGAACAGTATTGTCTTTAGTGACGAGTCTCGATTTTGTTTAGGCATGCACGATGGTCGTGCCAGGGTTAGAAGGCGACGTGGTGAAAGGAGGAATCCACAGTTTTTTGTTGAAAGACATGTTCATCACACTGTTGGAGTTATGGTTTGGGGTGCTATAGCTTATGGTTCCAGGTCACCTTTAATCTTCATCAGAGGTAACATGAACGCGCAGCGTTATATCCACGAAGTTCTAGAACCCCATCTTGACACCCTGGCAGATCCAACTTTCCAACAAGATAATGCCCGACCACATGTTGCAAGAGTCACAATAGACTTCTTTCAACATGATGTCACATTGTTACCATGGCCACCAAGATCTCCCGACTTATCCCCAATTGAGCACATGTGGGATATGATGGGTAGGAGATTGCTCAATTTGCAACGTCCTCCTCAGACTCTAGAAGCACCTCGAGAGGAGTTGGTGGTTGCCTGGAATGAGATACCACAGGAGGACATTGACCACCTGTTCAGAAGCATGCCTAGGCGCGTTGGAGAATGCGTAGCACATCAGGGTGCATCCACACATTATTAAAGGTCAAAAGGCTTTAAAGCAGTGCAATCATTTTGAAATTTTTATCATTTACTTATTATGCTTCATTAAGTACTTATACAAAATTTTATTAAAATAAAACTATTTAAAGTGGGTGTTCGGATTTATATGTCACTTAGTATAGTATCAAGATAATAAAGACAAATAGTGACATACTTCTTAATATTCTTGCACTTCCATTACTTTCTTTAATTTTTCCGGCATAATCCCATAATTTATCTATTTACTTTACCCAGAAAGTTATTAGCTAATAGGTACATACAAATATGAATTTTTAAATAAGATTCAATGAAATGAAATACAATAAATAATTATTAATTTATTGGTGCAGGATTCAATATCTCAAATGTTAAATAACTTCATCACTTAAATCATTTAAATATTATTTTGTTAAAAACATAATCCAAAACTTTGCAAAACCTAACAATATTTAAGCATCACAAAATCAATATGTAAAATTCTATATTACTGCTTTTTAGAAATCTTTGTTTTTTCCTTTCTTTTCTTGATATGCTTTTTGATTTTAGTTTTTCTCTTCTCAGCCTTTGCTTCTTTGACAGCCTTCTTTCTAGCTTTCTTCTCCTCAGTTGTCTCATGCCTGGGTCTCGAAGAATCAGTAAAATTACTTTTCTCTTCTTCATCTGAAGAATCAGAACTACTACTTCCACTGTTACTGTCACTCTCATCGCTGCTTTCATCTTCTTTATCACTTAAAAGTTCTGGTTGATGGGCAGTGCTCAAATCACTTTTCAACCCAACAAGGGTTTTGTATACTAGATCATTTTCTAAACCTGATTTTACTTGGATTATGTCTCTTTCAAAATCAACTACTTCTGTTAGTCTTTTGGGAATGTAGGCCTGTTTGAATACCTCTTCCTCAATCTGAAATCAAAATAATTTGTTACTTTTGGTATAAATAATGGAAAAGATATTACATTGTATTAAAGTATTTGTAAAACTAACTTATAGCACTTCTACATACTGTTCAAACATGTTTGATTACCCTAATTCTCTATGTCTACCTGTTTGTGTCAACAAGTACATATGCATAAAAGCAAATATTTGAAATATTGATTGCCCTCTAGCTTGATAATAATGTTTTATGGTATTTGACTCACAGATACTAAATGTAACATCTGAAACTTATCCTGTGGTTTTCGTGTTGTTAACCCCCCATGTTTTTCAGGCCAAATCAAACCACATATGTTTAAAATTCCTCTATATTGAATGTTTCATTATTTTCAATATAAAATAATATATTGTCAAAGAAGTGTCAAATGTACTTGAAGAAGGTCACCATTGGGACCAAAACTTCATACAATATAAAGGAATTTTAAACACATGTGGTTTGATTCAGCTAGAGAGATATGGGGGATTAACAGATTCTATAAAACTATGCAGTTGTAATTTGGTCTGAACAATAATGTTCCTAAAAATGGATTAGAGAAGGTTAGTTTTGCCTCACTAGTTAAGATTCAAGTATAAATACTCCAACCTCCAGACCTGTGTATGTATATGAAAATAGAATATAAGCAATATTGCTTCGAAAAATCAATGATGGAAAAAATTTAGTAGACTCCAAGGATTTTTGAAATTTTGGGAAAACTAATAACAGTTTTAGAAGACATATACCTCTTCATTTGGTGAGACATCAGCTTTCTCTGCAGCCTTTTCTGCCAGTTTGCCCAAGCATTCCTCCATATTCTCCTCAGTGATACTGATGTCTGTGATAAAGCTGAATAGCTCCTTCACACTCATGGTAGCTACCTCCTTTTTCTTAAAGAACTCTGTGATATTTGTGCAATCTTTCCTGAGAAACTCTAGAGCATGTGGATGGTCATGTTCTACAGATTGTGATACATCTATTATATATATTTGACCATTCTGGTATAGCATATTGAATTCTGAGAGGTCAGCATGAACTAACTTGCATTTGTTGTATAATTTCCACATCATGATCACTATTTCCCTATAGACCTCTCTTGCTTTGGACTGGGTTAAATCCACATCTTTGAGCTTAGGTGCAGGCCAACCTAAAATGTTTTAATACAGGCTAGGAAACTTTAAGACTGGATATTCTTGCCATAATAAACAAAACATACTATACAAGAATATACTGGGAGCAATGTGTGCCAATCATTTTATTTTGCACTTGCTTTTTGTTTAAAAAAGAAACCCTCTTTGCAAAGTTCATCAACTTTCAGTTTTGCTATTATTTCACTTGTATCATCTATTCTTTATTAAAAACTACAATATTCTACTTAGTGATAACTATTAGAGGAACCATGTGTATCTTGGTCTTTAATAATGCTTTGGCTATATCCAATCTCTAAAGAGATATTACCAATTTTTAATTGTTTACTTTATTATATAAAGAAACTTACCATCTTTTCCAATAAACCCCATAATCAACACATGAGACTTCAGAAGAACTGGCTCGGGAACATTCATCTCATTATTGAACATTCGAACCAAGTTCCTCATTTCTTTCTCAGCCCAAGTTCTCACCATTTTCCTTGGATTATGCTTGCAATATCCATGTCTAAACCTGAATTCTCCTGACACATACTTGTCCCTATCTTTAAATACCAGTATTGAAGTTTTATAAATTTTTACAGCATATTCTTTGCCATTACTTGCAGATGCATGATATACATTAGCTTCTTTTCCTGTAGATATGCATCCATTTATCTCTGATATTATGTTTCTATTAAGAAGCTTAAATAGTATCATTCTAGTTCGTGGATCCATCACTTGTTCAGCTGTAGCTCTATCATGTTTGTCTTTAGTTCGCATCCTATTACTGTTCAATCGTTTCTCGTTTTCTTGCAGTAATTTGGCAGCGTGATGAGGAAGTGAATCAACTTCAAACTTTTCAACGTTGATTTTATGCGAGTACTTTTTAAAAAGGTTGTCACTTGGTTGATAGTTGATAACTTTATTGGAGGCTTGCTGAGGGTTGGAGTGACCATGATGTGAGCTCGCTTGAAGGTAATCTTCATCGTAGAAATCCACGTCATCTTCTGAAAAATCCTCATTGTCACTATTGACTGCATCTTTGTATTCGTCACTTTGTTCATCGTCCAAGTTAAGGCCTTTCACGTCTGGCAGGCCCTGCTCTGCGTCGCAAAACATTTCCTCTTCTGTAAGCGGGATCTTGGGTAACATTGCCATTTTGTTTGTTTGTAATACACTAGAGTTAAATGTTTAAACACCTCAGAAGTAAGTATACAGCTGATACGCTGAAAATGTGCGCTCCCCAACTCCCCAATAATTTAAAAAACATTAGAGGTTATGGTCATTTGAAAATGACATCTATCATGGAACGTTTGTTGGTGGGAACGCAGATTTTTGGGTCAAAATGAAGCAAAGTAGATTAAGCACAGAGATGGATTCAGATAGTATGGTATTTCCATTAAGACAGTAAAGACCATGAACGGTGAAAAGGTTATTCGATGTTCATAGATGTGAGATACATCATATTATTAATTTGCGATGATTTTTATCAGTTTATAATTATTCCAAATCTAATTTATTAATTTTCTCTATTATCGCAGTTCGAATAGGAACAGAACTATCGAAATTTTTTTTACTTCCCATGCCAAATAGCAAGGTCAGCATTGTAAACTCAGAGAAGCAGAAAATATAATATTTTTAAAACTCTTACAGTGGCTTAATGTTCAGATCGTATTCCGATGTTATTTGACATTGTGATGATTTATGAGCATAGTCACATAATATTTTTTAGAAGATCTA